CTAAGGCAATTGTCACTTGTATTGATTTTAACATAGAAAGAATTTCTTCCTGAAATTCATCAACATTTTCTTGTTGGTATGTCAAGCTGGGGACTTTGGGGACAGGTGTTAGGGATGGTTTTTTACCATAATGAAGTTAAGTTGGAACATCCATTTTGTTTTTGTATGTAGTCTTTATAGTCCAATCTATTTAGGGATTTTAAAAGTTTCAGTCAATTATCATTTGAACTCAAAATTATCCAGCTGGCCTATCAGTCCATCCTTAAGTCTTCACTCAGCAAATATAAGTAAAGTTCCAATTTTTCAAATTTTTCTGTCCAATGAAAAACATATCCTTTCTGTCCAGAGATAAAAGAACAATTTAAAAATGTTCATCAATCAAAGGTTTATAGTCCAAAGTATTCCATCATCTCAATCAATAATGCATGTTTCTTCTATAGGGAAATAGCTCCGTTACACAGCTCTAAAAGTCAGTTAGTATTTATATTCGTAGTCCAGGCAAGCCAGTTTCAAAATAGTTTATTGTCTCTGCCACACAAATAAGCAGCCCAAGAGGTGTTCCCTCCCCCATTTTCCCAGCTGCAGTCTTCAAAAGTGAAAGTTTCTGAAACAATAAGAGTTTTATCTGAGTCTGGGCTTCCAGCTAAGTTTCTTTTAGGCATAATAAATTGTAGTGCTGTAGTTCATCACTAGATTTTGTTAATGCCATCTTCCAGCTTTTTACATCCAAACTTATATTACAAGCTTTTTAAGTTTCTTTTTTTAAAAAAAAAAATCTCAAAGCACTTTTAGTCCCCAAATTTCAAAGTTATATATGTGTATTGATTCCAAATTAATCTTGTAATTTTCTCTGTTTTCTCCCAAGCAATTAATTTGCCGCTTTTCTTTTCCTTAGGGAATGGGATGGAAATTCCCCTTCCCTCTCTCATTGGGGAGGATTCTTTGCTTTGGATGGTTTTTTCCCAGGAAAAAGTCTTAAAATCATAAAGAGAGCATAGGGTCTTACCCAGTCCCATCCACATTGCTCAAAGGTTCCTGGTTAATGCTTATTTTCTTCGGTTTCAGCAGCTTCTGACTGGCCACACGAATGTAGCCAGTCTTTCCCCCGCTGGTTGGAGGGATTCCTCAGATCAAACGGAAGGCCACCACCCTCCCGCAATCAACAAGGGTCCTCCTCTTTCTCTGTTGCCTCTTCAGGGTGATTTTTGACCCTTTTTAGGGTTCCCAGTTGGGCAAAATCAAACGTGGAAGACAGAGCCACATCTTCCTGTGCCAGTCACACTGTGACATCAAACCAGAAGTCAAGGTTAATGGAGCTTTGTGCAGACTCATAATTCATGGTCAATAAATAACAAGATAGTAATAAAGCATTTTCTCCAAGAAAGGAAAAATAAGGGATAATATGTCAAATACATACATTATTTAAAAATACAAATATACTAACTTAAACTGCTAACTTGAGTTAGCACTTGTTAATCAGATTAATTTAAAATGGTTTCTGCCAGAAGTGACCTTAAGTAATATATCTGGGATATTGATTTTTAAAACAGTGTAAATCCCACTGTTCATGGACTTTTTTCGAATGGCCATCTGTCATTAACTTATCTCCATAATTTTAATTCTGAAATTTCACTGGGTCTTTATCTTGGCCAGATTGAATGCACCCTCCTCCCCAGTCCGGTGGGCACAATATAAAACCTTCTTCAGCAGCATTTATGCCCCTGTGGAGATGGCTATATGGAATCCCTCAGCCAGATGCTCCTTTGTTGCTCTTTGGAAGTACCAAAAAATACTAAAAACTAATACCATTTGGATTAGAAAGGGAAAGTTGTTATAGAAACTGAAGAGAGAATGTAGACATTTCAGTTAACACTGAACATATATGAAATAAAATTTCATTTTCATCCTTGATCCATGGTACTTGTTGAAGAATAGCCTCACCATGTTAAGAATAACTTAGAAAAATAAGTGCAGTATAGTGATATCACTGGCCTACTGCCAATCTCTTTGCCTAGCATGAAATAAAGCAGCAATAGCCGCCATTCTTACTATTTGAAACCATTGCAGATGTGGAAGGGAGAACTCAATCTTTCTCCATCTTACAGGACACCATGAAAATATTCTTTGCAAAAACAGGAGGGCTTATCAGCCTGGTTAACAATGCACAGGTATGGCTTTGTATAAGGGACTATAGTGATATTTCCTCTTAAAACAAAACAAAACATCAAGTGAGATATTAACCTGAAGACTCTTTTGATATTTGATACTGCACCCAAAAGCATGGAGTCCACAACCGAACTGTGAATATAGAAAGGATGTGCCCTTCTCAACCTATATATTTCACCTTTTTCTAAAAACTCTCACATAAAATCTCCCATCACTTCATCCAAACCATAGTTCAGAAAAAAATATCTTAGAAATTCTTAAAGTTCTACCTGACCTAAGGTAATAGTCCTTAGATATCAGGTTTTAGAGCTGTAGTCATTATTTCCCATCAGAATCTGACATCCAGAAGTCATAATAATTTCTGCTCAAGAAGAGAAGTTATTAAGTTAACAAAAAGGCAATCACTAGCAGCCTTACATGAAAGTGTTACTCTCCTAAATCAAGCATTCAAATACTGATGAATAAAAGAACTCTAATGAAGACTGTCTTTGGTTCAAATACTTCCAAAGATTTGGTCAGTTTTTACTTTAAGCACTTAACCCACTGGAAGTAGCTAAAGCATTTCCAAAATATTCTCAAGAGACCACAGACACTCTAGCAATATATGGTTTAGTTGTTCATCAAAGCTACACAGATTTCAGATTAAGCTTTCAACCCATCACTTTGTTCACATGTCTGAATTTTCAGAACAGATGCTGTTTTATCTAATTATATTTAAATACTTAAATAAAATATAAGTGCACTTTTATTCTTTCATATATTGGGAGTGTTCTATTCATGATGGGGTAGTGAAGGAATCACACACATGCTTTGTTAAATTGAAAAAAACCTGAGTAGCAGTGTTTTGTACATACAAAATAATAGTATATGCAGACAGTCATACATAGGCTACTAAAGAGCAAGAAGACATAAAAGATGATTTGATAAGTACAGTATTTGCACTAGTCAAATTTTAAATAAACACTTTATGACAGGTATTATAACAAATACTGATATAAAACATGCTAGTTAGTATATTGTTATACAACTTCACATTTATTTATTTAGAATTAATAAATTCCACCGTCAGCTTTCACTGCACATGCAAATTTTTGAAAAGTTCCACATGCATACTGCAAATAATGAAAATTCATGATAATACTGATTTTCTACATATAAATATAGAACATTTACATTAAGTAATCATTTATTGTTAATTTATTGAGACTGCTATTGTTTCTAGCCTTTCTTTTTAATACTACCTAAATATCTTTTTGATACAAAATTCAGAAGTGAATTATATCATTTCATTTTTGCTTATAGAGAAATGTTGTGAATGGTTTGGAAACTTCAATAATTAAAATTCTATTTTCAAATCACATTACTTTCATATTTTGTTATTCAATTTGGAAAAAAATGAATATTTTATACTTCTCAGATAAATTGTTTTTATTTTAACCACATTGAAATTACTATGCCACACAAGCAGAGAAATTACTCTGTAACTGTAAACCACACCACTGCTTGCTACATACTTATTTAAGAAAATAGAAGGACACAAGAAGAATACTGATGAAATATAAATGACTGAAAAAAAATCAACATCCAAAAAGGATCATTATTGCAATCTCCAGACCAGAAATAATTTATTAAATCTTGTTTGCTATATGTACTCATGAAGAAAGTTTATTTTTTTCCCAAGTCGGTGTCCTTGATTTGTTTAAGATGACAATTCTATGTCAAATATCTAGACTACTCCAGGTTGGAGGAGCTTGCTTTAAGAAGTTGCTCAAATTTCCATTTTCCAAGCTTATTCTTTAAAACTTTGAAATGATACTTTGAATTCATACTTGAACGTTTATTACAAGACAAGCATTTTGAACTAGTTTTAAGATGACTTCTTGAACTTCATTACAATTAAAACTAATAAAATATCTTTTGATTGTGCTAGACAATAATTTAAGTGCAGAATCTTTGCACCAAATATATATACTGTATAACAAAAAGAATTTCTGCCATAGTATGGTATTAAAAGCAAGAATCAGAAATCCTGACAGCCAATTTTGAATCATGTCCTAAATAAAAATGTATTTGTATTTGTTATGTATATGTATTTGTTATGCAGAAAATCTACAATGCAAAGTGCCTTGAAAAACACATTAAATAAATAAATAATATAACTTGATGCTAAAGTAATACAATTGCAGTAGTTATAATTTCTAGATAGTATGCCTAGGAATCACAGTTCCAAAACAGCTGGAAGACCCTGGGGAAAGATTGTCTAGAGAATACACTGAAAGATTATATTTAATTGAATCATAAAAAATGAAACAGTTGCATTTATTCTACTAGTCTTCCAATATTTTCAGTTATTTAAAGTTCTAAATATAAGGTTTTTTACTGCAAATTACAAAGATAATACGTTTTTTTAGCTTTCTGACATTGCTAGTAGATTTTTCTGCCTAATGTTATGACAAAAGTTTATGAAAACGTAAGCACAATACAAATGACAAAGCAGTAAACCACATCTTATAAAATGATTAAACTGTCCATTTGCAACATTACCAATCAGAGTAATGCCTGCCATAACATTACTCATTAGTTAAGAATGGTCGTACCTTGCAGATATGTGCTTTAAAAAAGGAAGGTCTGAATTCCAGAAGTTAAAATCCCTAGGGTTGAGCATTAGAAAATACTATTGTAGGTCTGCTAAATAATACATTTCCTAGATCTTGGCCTCATAGATTCCAAAACAAGTGAAGATTCAAACATTATACTTTGGCTTTCTTCAACCTAGAACAACAGTAATACATTTTATTCCTCTTGAAAAGCTCAGTTTTAACTGAAAAACCTACCTAATTTTGGCAAGGAATAGGGTACTTTGAAGTAATCTTCATAGAACTCAATTAATCTCTGTGTAATGTTTAAAGCATAGTCCCCGGATCCTCTTCTAATGGCATCAGGTCTTGCATACAATCGTACCTATTGGAAACAAAAGAAAACAAAATAAAAGCTCGATCATAATATTTTCAGGATTGCTGAAGTAATCAAAGCATTGGTTGTATGTATATGTGTATGTGTATGTGTGTGATGACCCAGGGCACAGCACAGAGCAAATGCAGTCAGCTGGCAATTCAAACAGTTCTTTTATTGCTCCAAATTTTCCCCAAATGCTCCCATGTTTTCTGGCAAGCCTCCAACAAAAGAACACACACACTTCTTCAGCCAACTCTGGCTGAAAGGTTCAAATACAGTCTGATTAGCATAAGAAAGTACTCAAAGCCATAAAGATAACAAGGAGGAAAACATAAACTTAACGAGTCTGTTTGAATCCTAGCTTGCCTGAGCAATTTTCAAAAGAGAGAATCCAAAATACAGTCCGAGGTCTTTAAACATTCAAGTAATGTGGTCAGTCAATCCAATTGTTCGAGTTTCCAGGTTTCCAAACAGAAGTCACAGAACAAGAGATCAGCAACAAAACACAACACTCCAAGAATCAGTGTTCGTTCCCAACAAATGCCCCTCCCCACAGCTTCTCCTTAAATCTCAATCTCCAGGTGTTCCTTGTGGAGAAGGGAGGGATGCTTTCCTCCTGAGTAATTGAGCCTGCCTGCATTCTTCCCTCCTTCTCTCCACTCTCTATGCTCTAGGATAAGGTGGGGGTGGCCCTTGCTCATTGCTTGAACTCTGCCTCTCTTGTTCCTCCTGTTTCAATCCTGAAGGGCCCTGGCCTGCCTTGGCCTGCTCTTCCCCACATTCCTCTGAAGCCACAGACACCTCTCCCTTGGCCTCCATAGGATCCCATTCCAGTTCATTTTCCTCCGCAGATTCAGGCTCAGACAGAGGCATGACAATTTGTATGTGTACGTGTAATTATAGATATAGGTGCAGGTGTATGCATATGTGTACATTCTGTCATAATTCTATCATATCAGTATAGATGATTTAATTGTAATAATATATTTTCACAATTAAATGTAAACAACATTAAAATTGCCCACTATAAGAACTGTAGTCTTGTGAAAAATGCAAGGACTCTTACGAGTTCCAGAGGGTTTAGCAGAGAGATTTATTGCACAGGTTCAGAAGCTATAGCAACAAGCAATTCTGAACCCCAAGGGCGGGTTCAGACTTCAGTTTTATACTTTCTTTTTCTCAAAACCAAAGGACTACACATTCTAATACACATTGTAATACATTAGGTCTGTTTCTCACGGGTATACAATGGAGAGTTTGCTACATACATTGTATCCAAATGCAATGCACATTAGGTTAGTCACATACTACTAACAGCATTATTCCAATAATTACGCAGACACATCATTATTTTAGTGATTGTTAATTATTCCACATTATTCCACCTTATTCCCCCCTTTGGAAGTTTTCCTGCTAAAACTTCCATCATTCTATCTCCAATTCAGGATCTTTAGAGGGCAACATTTTATATTCCCATAAAGCTAACATTGTTTCATGTTTTGAAGTTAATTGGGCTGTACTTTCTGACATCCTTCGAATCGTTACTACAATACAGGGGAGTAAGCAGGGAATCAAAATACATCCTAGAATTAACAAGACTGCTATAATTATGATGGTTTGTAGGCCTGGTAACTTTGGCCACCATCCTGAAAATATGTCTTCCAAATTAAATCCTTTCCAGGTTTGCACCAGAACATGAGCTAGTTTGACCATTTTTCTCCCATACTTGTTCCACCACACACAAAACAGTTGGACATGTCTAAAGTATGGGCAATATCTTCAGCTAACTTAACAAATGTATTGGTTACATGTCTAGGTATTTCAGAAATATTTAGTTTCTCCATTTCCTCATAATATGACCAAACTAATGATTTTTGTTCTGATCTTTTGGTTGCAGCTATAATTTTGATTTCTACCTCTGATATTGGGTCGTAGCCATTGGCATCTATTCCTATCCCAAACATCCAATTTCGTCTTTTCCATTTATTTTGTTCCAGGAACCAACTGCCATTCATGACTGTGAGAGTCACCAAATTACAGTTATCCCTTCCACAGGAGTCTGCTTTTGCATTATTCTTTCAAACAAGATGTGCTCCATCTCCTTTGGGTCTTGGGTATGCCACTTAATACATGACCACCACTTACATCTGACCGTGGAGACTGCACACCCATCTGGTGGGCACAAGTACTTATGGTTTGGGATATAGCTGTGGATTTGACTGATCCCTCCGCAACCATCTATTGCAGCCCAATAATTAGCTGCCTTACAAATATCAAAGGTGACGCTAAAACTGAAGTGTGCGTTGGATTTCCATTGGGAGATCCCTAATAGTGCCTGGTCCCTAGAGCTCCTGGCTGTTCTATGTGTTCAGATTTGTAAGGCCCAACTATCAAGATTAGACTTCGGGTTATAACACTGATCTTGAACCCCTTTTCTACTAACTTTATATGTAGTTCTATTGTATGTACAGGAGCTAAGGGAGCTATCTTGGCACCCTTCCGGTTTCATTGTATGATAAATCATAGTCTTAGTTATCTGGCTTCCTTGTTTTGTAATCTTGATGCAGTTTTGACAATCCTGGTTTCCCTGTGTTTCTGTTCTTTCTTTGTGTCTACTACTCAATAGTTTTCTATTAGAGGGTTTCTGCAGTATGACCTCTCGTGTAGCCATTGCACTGATTTGTGTAGGGATGTGTGTGTATATTCCCCATATTAAATAACTAACAGATATTATGAGCTGTAGAATCCTCATGTCTTCCACCGTGCATAGAGAGACAGCTTCCGGAGTGTCTCAGCAAGGTCTGATGTTCACACCGTGTGCTGAGAACCCGTTGCCGGTAGGGTTCGACAGGGTGTATTTCTTGTAAATTTTAACACTAAAGGTTTGTCAGTTTTATCCACCTTGTAAGTTACTGGATCGGCAGGTGCAGCTGCTTTCAATCTACTCCAGTGGATCCAGGACTTTCCCTCCAAGGTTTTCACTGCCAAAGGAGAACACATGACAGCAGTATATGGTCCTTTCCATCTTGGGGTCAAGGGATCTGATTTCCAGTGTTTTACCCATACTCTATCTCCTGGTTTGAACCCATGTGTTGCCGTGACCACTGGAGGGGGTTGTTGTTCTATCATATAATGGCGCAAATTTGAAACAGCTAAATTATGAAGCTGTAACTGATGTAACAATTTCTGTTGGTCTATTCCTCCCTTATGAGCCAAGTCCAGCCAGCCCTGACTGTCAGGTTTAAGTAGACAAGGGGGACAGCTAAACATGAGCTCATAAGGGCTAAGTTGTAATTTAGTGCGAGGGCCAGTCTGATTGCATACAAAACCATAGGCAAAATGTCTGGCCAATGGAGATGAGTTTCCAAACAAAATTTGGTAAGTTTTAATCGGGCGATGAGCACGTTCCACCTTACCAGCCGATTGGGGGTGGAAAGCACAATGGAATCTCCACTTAATTCCTAATGCCTGGGCTAAAGCCTTATTAATTTGAGGTATGAACTCAGGGCCATTATCTGATGAAATCCTAGAAGGGCAACTTCTTTAAGAAAAATTCTGGCAACCTATATAGCTTTCTTATTTACAGTCGAAAAGGCCTCAACCCACCCTGAATAGGTATCGATTATAACTAATAGGACTACATATTTCTTACTCCTAAGCATATCAGTAAAATCAATAACGACATAGTCCATTGGAAAATAAGTGATTGGTTGTTGACCAGGTGGTACTACCGGTCCTTGGCATGCATTGGTTTGGGCACAAATGGAACATTGAGAACATACTTGTGCCGTTAGCGAAGAAGCAAAGGGAAGATAGAAAAATCATTCAAGCTGCTGTAATAATGCAGTTTTTCCCAAATGATGTTGCTTATGGGCCTGAAAAATAAGGGGGTGGGCAAGCGCAAGAGGAACAGCAATGGGTCCATCAGGAAGGGTGTACCAGCCTTTAACCAGTTCGGCTTGTACATCCTGCTTCAACTTTTGGCTTTCCTCTTTTGTATATGTAGGATCAAGTTGTTCTAAGTAAGTGTCTAAATACATGAACCTGGTGACATCCAACTGAAGGGGGGGCCTTCTAACGCAGCTCTTTTGGCTTCTTTGTCTGCCTTCCTATTGCCCTGGGTAATAAGGCTTGAGTCTTTTTGATGTCCAGGACAATGGATGATTGCAACTTTAGACGGTAGTTGAGCTGCCTTAATAAGTCTTTTAATCAAAGTTGCATATTGGATGATTTTGCCTGTGGAGTCCAAATATCCTCTTTCTTTGTAGATTGCAGCATGTCAAAAATGCATACTTACTGTCCATATATACATTTAAAATCATTCCTGCAGCTATTTCTAATGCTCGGGTTAGGGCATATAATTCTGCAAATTGTGCACTTGCTCAGTTGGGTAATTGTGCTGATTCTACAGTTGTAGTTTGAGAAACAATTGTGTAACCAGAGTATCTAATTCCTTGATCCATAAAGCTGGATCCATCAGTAAACCACTGAAAGTCTGGATTATACAATGGTTGGTCCGTAAGGTCAGGTCTGCAAGAATATTGTAGTTCTATTGTTTGCATGCAGTTATGCACGGGCATAGTTGAATCTGGTATTGGCATAGGAGTGGTCGGATTGAGAGTAGAGCACTGTTGCAGTGTAACTTGTGGATTTTCTAATAAAAGGGCCTGTATCTTATGCATCCTTTGATTGCTAATCCATAAATGTCCCTTATTGTCAATAATTGTCTGCAGGGCATGACTAGTACAAACAGCCACTGGAGCAGAAAAGATTAACTTATTTGCCTCCTGTAGTAACAGCATAACTGCTGCTAGAATTTTTAAACATTGTGGCCATCCTTGTGTCGCCATATCCAATTGTTTTGACAGATAAGCAATTGGGCGATTCCAATTTCCCTGCTTTTGGGTAAGGACTCCTAAAGCTACATTCTGTCTCACATCGACATAAAGTGAAAATGACCTAGATATATCAGGTAGCCCTAGAGCCGGTGCTGTAGTAAGAGCCTG